GGTTTTTTTCAAAAATATTAATGAGATGATTTGCTGATTCCCTTTTTCCCCAACACATTCCCACAACATATTCTTAACGGCTTTATCGAAGGTTTTTTCCTGGTATGTAAATGTCAACAGACAGGCGTTTTATGTTATATTGCTCTCTCTCTCTCTCTCTCTCTCCCTCTCTCCCTCTCTCTCCCTCTCTCTCTCTCTCTCTCTCTCTCTCTCTCCCTCTCTCTCTCTCCCTCTCTCTCTCTCCCTCTCTCCCTCTCTCCCTCTCTCTCTCTCCCTCTCTCTCTCTCCCTCTCTCTCTCCCTCTCTCTCTCTCTCTCTCTCTCTCTGACAGTTGTCTCAATGTATGAATGGCATCTGTGCAACTTCTACTGATGTGAAAGCTGATACTCTATCATCGGTCTTAGCCTTCTTCAGGCGCACTCTTGCTCTCACATCTGCTCAAGTGTAGCGCTTTGTTTTGGTAGTCTCTTGTTCTAACCTGATGACCGAACCATTCCATGTCTCAGAATAGGCCCAGTATAATCTCTTGGGAATAAACTCCACAGGGGAGCATGCACAGCAGGGATCTACCAATCATCCTACATGTTGGCTGCAGCGGCTATGTGTATCTACTGTTCAGGGTCGTCAGAACTTGGCAGATCAGCTGCCTCTCCCCGCTATGGTCATCTTTAGGACAACCCCTATCACTTCTACGTTACAACTCTCGTAACAAAGCTTAAAAGCCGCGAGAGCGGTCTAATCTCTAGTATAAGCAATTGAAACAGGCGGATCAATATTCGCCGATTATGTCTGTCGTATGCAAATATGTCTGCGCACTTGCATCGGAGGCATTAATAATGGATAATGGCTATAAACACTACAGTTATTTCTTGAGGCAGCCAGATACGTGTCTGGTATTGGGGACACATTAGCAAGACTGCTACAGGACATGATCGATTACTGTTTGTCTTTCCGAGCCACGGACGATGAACTGAACTATTTAGTAACCAGTGTAGCATCTCATGTAGCCGTAAACTCCTGCTCAAAGCTCCTGTTTTCAGTTTGTTCAAAACATTATAGTGTCCCGAAGCAGGCGATTATTTCATGGTTAATTACAGGGACTTTTCTGTGGGGGGAAATACGCCTGCCTTGAATGTGACACGTTGAGAAAACCTCATAAAAATATAATTAAAATATCTTTGTCCTGGAACTCACGCAGTAAAAGAATTAAAAGCCTACACACACAAACACACACACACACAAACACACACACACACACAAACACACACACGCAAACACACACACACACACACACACACACAAACACACGGGGAAGGGAATCAGAGACTGCAGTGAAAGATGTTCGGAGTATATGAGGTTAGCTACACGCGACAGCAGGTGATGGAACGACTTCGCGTGAGTTGGTTGTGTGTCTTTACTTCGTTGGGAGTTAAAGGGAGGAGGAGGAGGAAGAAGAAGAAGAAGAAGAAGAAGAAGAAGAAGAAGAAGAAGAAGAAGAAGAAGAAGAAGAAGAAGAAGAAGAAGAAGGAGAAGAAGAAGAAGAAGAAGAAGAAGAAGCAGAAGAAGAAGACCGACCGACCGACGCGTTTACATTGACCCTTTGAAACAAGGCAACTGTATTTTATATATCATGCATTCTATCTTTATAATAATAATAATGACTGCAACTTCAAGTGCATGATGATAGAACTGTTGACAATTATGATTTTATTGCAATGATGATTGCAGCGGTGCCAAAGAAGGTCATGTGTTAGATGACAATGAATTGACAGAAGGGGCAAGCTCTGTTAAACACCCAAGTTCAAACATGCGTAGTTCGCAAGTGTTTCAACATTGATGCTTTTGCCCAATTTACCGACGACTACATGCTGTATTAACACCGATGTACGGGATGAAAGTAGACAACATATACTGATGATGATGATGATGATGATGATGATGATAATGATAATGATGATGGTGGCGGTAATGATGACGAAAGATGAGGGTGACTGTTCAGTGCAAGATCAGAAGAAGTTAAACGAACAGGCAGAACTTAACCAGAGTATAGAATCCTATAGTATAGGTGAAGAGCAACAGGTCGAACGGTTAAGCTTCATGGGCAGGCAAGGGAGAGACTCAGTTTCCAATCCTCGGTACAGTCATGGGTTTTTGTTTCTGTCAGGGGTCAAAATAAAATCCCAACCTGCACAATACGTGGCGACAGCACTAGCCATGTGGTCTTAAATCCTAAAGCGCAAAGACCTTCCTGCCTGCCTACACGGCAACAGTGGCAAACACAGACAGCAGTGACAGTTGATAGTATGTAGTGTGATATGTCATCAGGTTCCTTGACGATTTGTGTCAGAGTTCATGTTGTTATCACAATCGACGTCAATGCACATTGGGCTTTTCCATGCGTGCTCAGTTCTCCGATGCAGCAGTCACTTCAAGAAACCTCTGCTGATTGTTCCCATGAGTAGTTGAATATGTTCTGTTTGTCTTTGCCTCGAAGACGGCACAGACGTGCTTCACCAAGCTTAACTCCTCGGTCACGTAATCCTGTTAGGCTCAGAGATTTAATGTCATCCCCCAGTTTTGTCCGTACTGTGTTGATAGTATGAGGTCGGTCCATGCTTCTTCCCGTTTGTATTTGTGTATAATTCGCCAGATGGTCACCTCTTCTGTTACCATTGACTCCTGCGAGTCCATGTTTGTAGATCCAGATGATGGCGATTAACTAAGAGCTTGTGATTTTTATAATGCCATCTGTAACAGTATATCTCAGTCCGTCTGGTGATATGTTTCCATGCTATGACAAGTCAAAAATCTCTCCCCGCTATCTTCCTTTTTCTGCCATTTGTCTTTTCAACGTGCTCCGATTTGTGACTTGCAGTAATGATGCTTAAAGCTTGTTTCACAGTCCCTGGCGGTCCAGGGTGGGATCTCTACCTGGAGCCTTTAGGAAGTGGACAGGTGTCACAATCAAACTGTAGAAGAAAATGAGGCCGCGCCATGTAAAACTACTAAAGACGGCACAGTGTGCAGATACGATCATTAACAGGGGTGAAGGGGGCGGGGGTAGAGAAGTGTCCGGTCGTTTGCCTGGCGTTCTGGAAGTCGTGGGTTCGTCTTATGGTCGCGACATTTGGCTTGCGAGAATTCTTTCTATGGAGACCCCCGGGAAGCATTACTGCAGCTACGGTGTTTGTGCAGAGAGAGAGACCAGGCCGTGTGGTACAAAACCTGCTCGCAGTGAGGTCTATCCTCTAGATTTTCAACCTTTAAAACAACGAACTTTACCCACACATGTAACTGGTGCCTTCTAAAGGTTTAACACCCTGCGACTCCAAAAATCCCACCCTGAATATCAATTCAACATGCCAAATTATCAGATACCGTGTTCAGCCTCTCAATAATGTATAATTATGGCACTATCAGGGCTCCCTAATACCACCCTGCCGACCTGGGCACGCGAAAAGCTGTGGTATAAAGTTGAGAGAATAGACTTTATATAACCAGGTATTATCTCATATGGCTCGGTCTTTCCCCGCAGAATGGCTAGCTGCCTGCCGAAAGCACTGCATAAATCACGAACTCCATAGTTCCGTTTACGATCTCCAGGAATGTCCTTTAAAACTGCACTAGTGAGTCAAACAGCGCAGCTGTGATTTGAACGCACGGCCTTCAGAGGACAAGGCAAACGACTTGGCCATTTCGCCACAGAAATAATTTCCGAATCATCAAGTGCTAGGGCTGGATTTCCGCAGCGGGCACTTTATTTATTTATTGTTGGACGACGATACTAGAGTCAAGTCGTTGAAAAGATTGGGGCATCACAAAATCTAACATTGTTAAAGACAGCCAATAGGTTTACTATACCCAACCTTCATTGTGGAGTCAGCATATAAAAACAACTGTAAAATTGATCAATCATTTCTCCCTTTATTATCCTCATATTTGAAATCTCAGTCTGGACGGCAGACCAATAAGGCAGATCCCAGGTACCCGGTTTAAATCCAAAGAAGTTCATATTATTGCGCCTGTAGTGGCTACAGCAGACTGACTGTCTCACGTGTAACCCCACCAGGACCGCACAACGAGCCACAAACATCCGGTGACACACAGTACCAGCATTCGGATGAGAATATCCCGGGCACAAGTCACAAGTTCAGCCCAAATGTTCTATATAGTGCCACCGGCGACAGCCGGGGTGGGGCTTTAAAAAAATAGAAACAAAAACAAAATAAGCCCCATACTGGGCCTTGCCTTGCCTTGCCCTGCCTTGCCATGTTAAACTAGCTTTCCCGAAGGGGAAGGTTTTGGTTATAACAGTGACTAGGTTATGTGCGCCATAGAAAATGGCTTTATGTTGCTCGCCACCACCTAGCCCTGAAAAGGACTCTTGCAGTATTATTAGATCAAAGGAGACATAGGCAAGTACTGTCCCTACCAGCCAAGAAGTCGTCTAACGGTGGGGCCAGTGGGCGAGCCGGTCGCCGATGTGACCCACAACAGGGGCGAAGTTTAAAGGTACAACTACTGCGGATCTTTGCAGGTAAGGACTAGTGTGAACATCGTGTAACATTGAAGGCATGTCGGGGGTTACACAGTCTTGTTAATGCCTACTGAATTCTTGTCCACAGATAATAATCACAAGATGGAGACAGTGCACCACGGCTTGTGACACATTCTAGCAACGCTTCCAGACTTCAGGATCGTCCAGCCAAACCAGATTACCAGACTGCAGTTGTCGTGTCTTTTCAGCGTTACCGCTTCCGCTCAGAATTATCGTCCCTGTGCAGATTCACAGTTTCCGGTTCAGAGTTACCGTTCTTGTTCAGACACAACTGGGCCCATTTCCGAGCTTGTGTCTCTTCATCTGGACAAAAGATATACACACAAGTAAACCACCAGCTATCTGTCTTAGCTGCCTCCATTGGAAGCAGTCAAGCCCCGGACATTTTTACTAATTTGTTTGTCTTCAGAAACAAACTTCTCGTCTTGAAAGTGTGTCGATCATGCTTGTAACGCCACGACAGGACAGCTATTCCAACAATCTTAACAACAACAACAGTATGAGCCTGAGCCCACATCACCATCGACATCATCATTACGACGACGACAACAACAGTCTCCGTTCTCAGCTCACCGACCCAGCGGCAGGTAAATGTTACTCCCCGAGGCCGGGCCACAAAGTGAAGCAACCACCTCACATCAATATTTGCCCTCCGGATGAGAGCACAACATCGTCAGAACAATACTCTAGGAATGAAGAGCTGGACAACGATATGTTTCAGTCCCCACCGTCAATGGTTACCCAGCCCACGACTTCGACATCCATAGCCTCCGATGAAAAGCACGAAGTCTTCTCTGGCAGGCTGTACATCTTACGACATACTGGATCTACAAGCAGCACGTCGTCATCCCCCACACGATCCCCCTCCCGAACCACGGCGCCACCGTCACCTTTCAGGTTCTCGCCTCCGCTATCCTCCCAACAATGGTCACCTCAGAACTCCCCAAACTCATCCCCGACGACGAAAAACAACAAGAAGATGCCGGTATTTGTCAAAGTGTACCGGTGTAACCTGGACCACTTTGCCGTGATCACCCGTGATGCTCTTTACACCAGCAGGCCTGTCTATCTGAACCTCCGCCACAGCCGGGTCATGCCTGGACAGTGCCTAGGCCGCTTCATTGTCGCTGGACAGTGTGATTCTGGCAACGTCATTGAATTTGAAACTCCGGAACTGGCCACACTCGGGCAGTGGTTGGATGCCTTTCATGTTTACACTCCGCCAGGTTCGCCAAACAGAATCACCGGCAACAGCGGAAATGTGGGGTCTTCAAACACTCCTCCTATCCCACGGAGTCCTGCACTTCCAACTCTTACAGAAACAGACGAGGACGATTGAGAAATGTTTGTAGGAATCCTACCTTGACGTGGCTTATAAGAATTTCTAACTGGACAGGTTTATAAGAATTCCTAGCTGATACAAAGTTTCCACGATTCATAAAATTAGTCTGGTTTCTGATAATTCCTAACCTGGAAGAGTTTCTAAGAATTCCTAACAGATAACGTTTCAACGATTTCCAACCGCTATTTAAGGTTTGAAGATTCCCAACTGGCGAATGAAGAATGAGCTATTGAGTGGAGGTGTCTTTTACTAGTCATCTCTCCCCGCGTGCAGATATTCAAATGTCATTTCTGATGTGAATATCTACCATAAATGTTTGTGTACTACATATTTCCCTGAAACCCTGGTGTCGTATTCGCACGCAGGAAGTCAAGAACAGTCTGTGACATGTCTTGTTACAAGAAACATTTCACATGCGATGTCTTATTTCCGGAAATGTTTACGCGTGAAGACGTCTTGCTGATCAGAAACTTGTACACATCAAGATGTCTTGTTACTCGGAAGCTTGTATACATCAAGATGTCTTGCTGATCAGAAACTTGTACACATTAAGATGTTTTGTTACCCAGAAGCTTGTACATGTGACAATGACTTGTTGCCCAAAAACTTGTACATGGGAAGATTTGTTCTAAAACGTTTAGACTTTAAGACGTCTTGTTGCCAGAAACTTCTACATGTAAAGATGACTTGTTGACTGGAAACTTTTACATGTGAAGATGTCTTGTTGTCAGAAACTTTTAAATGTAAAGATGACTTGTTGCCCGAAAACTTTTACACGTGAAGATGACTTGTTGCCCGAAAACTTTTACACATGAAGATGACTTGTTTCCCTAACACTTTTACAGGTAAAGACATCTTGTTGCCCGGAAACTTTTCCATGTGGAGATATCTTGTTGCCCCGAAACTTTTAAGGTGAAGAAGACTTGTTGCCTGGAAACTTCTATAAGTGAAGATATCTTGTTGCCTGGAAACTTTCACACACAAAGATGTTTTGTTGCCTGGAAACTTTTACATGTGAAGATATCTTTTTGTCTGGAAAATTTTACACATGAAGAAGTCTTATTGCCTGGAAACTTTTACATGTAAATGTATTGTTGCCGGGAAACTTTACATGTAAATGTCTTGTTGCCGGGAAACTTTACATGTAAATGTGTTGTTGCCCAGAAACTTTTACACATGGAGATGTCCTGTTGTCAAGAAACTTTTACACATAAAGATGTCTTGTCATCTGGAAACTTTTACACATGAAGATGTCCTGTTGCCCAGAAACTTTTTCATGTAAAGATTCTTGTTGTCTGGTAACTTTTACACATGAAGATGTCTTGTTGTCTGGAAACTTTTACATGTGAAGACGTCTTGTTGTCTGGTAACTTTTACACATGAAGATGTCTTGTTGTCTGGTAACTTTTACACATGAAGATGTCTTGTTGTCTGAAAACTTTTACATGTGAAGACGTCTTGTTGTCAGAAACTTTTACATGTAAAGATGTCTTGCTGTCTGGAAACTTTTCCATGTGAAGATATCTTGTTGCCCTCGAATTGTTACATACTGGGACACTTAGAAACAATGCGACTGTGTATCACGATGGTTTAACCTTTGTTGGGAATATGGCCATGTTTAGAATGTATAACGCGGCTCCCGTAAAGTCATTTATGTGACACCTTTTTCCCACAGCTAAACTTTAGCAGCTCTCTCGATTACAGACTACCAACAAAAAGTTGTGGAATTATTTCATTCAGTTTTAAACTATACTGACGTATTTAAACTTCACCGAATACACAACAGGTAAAGCAAAAGTTGGGAGACCTAATTGAGCAATGATGCGCAAAACAAAAGCGAAACTCCAATAATGGTTAAAAAAAATTAAGTACATTCATATTTTTTAACTACTAGTTTAACTACAATGTGGCCATAATTCCTCAGCCTGAAAGAGCTCCCTGCCAACATGGCAAAAGTGGTAGATAAATACAGGCAGTTTTGAACTACTAGTAGCTTAAGCCCCACAGGAAGTTAAACCATCTCAGTCCTTACCCACGCAAGACTAGGTTACATAGGGCTGAAGTAGCCGGCATGTTTTTTTATTTTTATTTTTTCAAGTGACCTGCCTATCTGTTACAGGACGTTGCAGAACCAATCCTGACATTTGTTTGGCTCTGTGATTTTACGAGGCAATGTTAGGTTGCCACTGCCTCTCAGCTGTCAGGTCTTGATAAAACTGAAATACTACTCAAGGCAGCGGGGATCAAACAGGGTATTTTGGAATTACAAATCGCGCTTGTGATGTCTCAGCCACAGAGGCTGTAAAGGATATCGGGATGCTGCTCTGGTGGTCTGCGTCGCGTCTGAGATTTTGTCGACTCAGTGTGTCACACCTTAAGGCGGCCACCTGAAAATGGATGGCGCGGAAGGAAGAAGGAGGACGGTGGCTGAGTGTCAAGTCAAGTGGTCCTGATACCACTCCAGGGTTGCTGCCCATAGGATAAACACTTCAAGGATGAGAATCAAACAGGAGCACATCCCGGAAATTCTGTTCAAGCGTATAGCTCAGTTTATTACGGCGGCTTTATAGTGAGGAAGTAACGAGCAGTCCCATGTTGGGATGGGAGCTGTTGCATAATTATAGTCCTGGGTACTGGGTGGGTATTCAGTAGAGAGAGACTTTTTTATTTAAACCAAACAACATCAGCCTTTTCAACTGTGATTTTTTTATTTATATTAATTAAATTATCATCTGTATTTTACTTTTGTACATTATTTGCTCATTTTTATATTGTAAAAGTGTCTCTGCTTGATTTGTTGTCAACTGTGTTAAGCACAATATGACGGAGCTTTCAAGATTTTCATGTTGTTGACACTTTTTAGACAAATATAATTTTGAGAGCCATTAAGACTATTAGCAAACCAGCGCTTAAATTAATCCTTTAAGATATAAAGAAACATACAAGAAATGTAACATCGACATGTTTCACCACACGGTCAACACAAGAATACTTTTCATTTGCATTCAAAATATATAATATTTCCAAGAATAGTGTCACTTATAATTTAAGAGTGACGATAACAAAACACATTGAATAACCAAAATAACTGTGGCGTTCCATGCCAATTATTCTGTTAAACGCTTTACATTCACGCGACACAACTTCACACTGCAGCCGACACACTGTGTCGCGATACAAAATTGTGAAAGCTCCGTCTGAAGATGGTCTATCTGTACGGTAAACCCTTTGCTGTTCTAGAACCCATCTAAATAATTTACTTGCAAATGCTTTCAGAACATTAATCAAGGGACGTAATATTACGCTTCCTTTGATTTCTGTTGGCCACAAGAGTTCAGTTTCCTGATCACATTTTATTTGTTGCTTGCTGAAAATATTGTACTTCAACCTCTCCTTTCTCACAGGGAACTGCAGGTCACTCCTGGCTGGCTGGTAGAACCGTTACTGGTGCCGTAATTACAACTTCTCTGGAGGATGAACGGAGTATCTGTGATCTGCCTTGTTGGTTTGCCGTCCAGATTGAGATTTTGTCAATCTCAGGACGGTCTGGTAAACCTATAGGTGTCAGCCCGGAGGAGACGGCTGATGGTTCTATGAATGTCCATTTAATATTTTGTTTATTTGTCTATGAAAAATAATTCGGTGTTTAAATTTGTTTCCATCAATGTAATAAAAATCTATGACTTCAGTTTGTGGGTGTCTGATTACAATGTTGAGTACGTCAGAACTGATGTCTGATTCTTCTTCTTCGTGTTCATAGGCTGTACAGTTTGGCGGAATGTTTTGGTGGCTTGTCCACTTCTGGACTTTGATCATTGTTCTAGAACTGTAGTTTTTCGTGCACATTCATCTACCAGATCTGGCTTATCTGTATGCAAAATATTGGTCCTCCATCCCAGGCAAATGCACTCCGACTCTGAAGAAAACACATTGTGCGACATGTTTGTTGGTTGGGAGGCATGGAGGGGGATTATGTCAGTGGGTTCATTGTTGTTTTTTTCTCCCACAATAAAGCACCAGAATCCACAGAGGGAAGCTTGATTCTCATCCAGGAGATATGAATACTACAGAATGCTAATGTAATGTCTTGTGTTTGTGGCATGTAACTGGACCTGCAAAGCTGTTGCATTCTCTATGCCTCTCCGATCTAACGTCCCAAAAGATGTGGGGATCAAGGACAGTTGGCAAGTAAACAGCATCTGGTCTCAGAAACTGAAATATGTTGGCCCTATGAAGCATAACAGCAAATTAAAAAGAATAGTAATAGAAGGCATGGTGCCAGGAAAGATGGGCAATGGCAGAGCAGCACACAGATGGTCACAGAATAAAAGTGACACCTTGTGTTGGAAAGTTCATGAGACAAGAAACCTGTGAGACCACATTACTTCCAGGCGGGCTGTGATCAAAGCAACATTATGCAGAAGACCTCCTACACAATGACGAAGAGAGATTTGCTTTTTAAAAAAGTGGCTCCTTGGAATAGTGGCTCTTGAGTCACAGGGTGTCAATATTTCCAGTCAATCGGACCACAATTCCAGAGTGAGTGAAACAAGTTTATAAATTAAAGCCACAATCATGTAACGTAATATGCAACGAAAATTAAATGCATTTAAAAAAACTGTCTGGGAAAGTTATGAACATAAACTGGGATGAAGTCAAGAGGAGTAAAGATATGCAACATGTCTGGGCAACAACTAGTACCAATAGTTATAAGAGAAGATGACACGACATTGTACATATTATGAAAACAAACAGAGAATTACCAAACAGGCACTGAAATGTGAAATAGAAGGACTGAAGAAGCAAGGGTGACCAGGAGAAACCCTAAGGCAAATGTTGATAAGAGAAGCCAAAGATGTTGGGCTGGATTCCATTCACGATATCACTCACACAGAATGACAATACACAGTGACCCACACTGAGCCCTGGGCAACCATCTATTCTGCCCACGACACTTTACAGCAAACACTGAACATGATGATGATGAGTACATCATG